GATAAGGGATACTCGATTTGTGTTAGGTACACACATGACATATTCTACTAAACTATGAGTTCTTTGATGAGTTTCATTCTTTATTCCATCCACTGTAGCACCTAATATAGTACCTGAAATATAGTTAGGATTCAAATAGCTCTTGACAAACTGCAGATCAAAGAACATGAATTCCAAATGAATTAATATCCTTGTGTTATTAGAAAGGGAGCACTCAAAGTCTAATCAGATCCAAAAACCTACTGGATGCTTTCTCACACTTCTCTCTACTAAACTCAGAGTTTTCAAGATGATTGCCTGTCTTCTGAAGGCCTAACATACTGGCAAAAAGTGTAAACTAGTTAATTTGAAAACTAAGATTAAGCTCATTCAAAAAGTAAGAATGAAACTTAGAAATCCCATCAGGGAAAACATAATCCCATTGTGGTGTGTGTGTGGACAGGTTGACTGCACACATTATGTTGAAAAGCACATCCTCATAAAGAAAACAAAAAATGCCTACAAAACATTCATCTTCACTGCAAATTACATTTATCTGTATGGCTCAGTTTTTTTTTTCTTAATTCTATTTATTTATTTTTATTGTACTTTAGGTTCTGGGGTACATGTGCAGATCATGCAGGATTGTTGCATAGGCACATACATGGCAATATGGTTTGCTACATGGCTCAGTTTTAAATGATGTGACTATTAACTTTGGTCTATCCCAAAGCCGGAAGGACTATACAGCCCTATGGAAGACAGTAAAGGCAAGCTGCATGAAATCTCCAGGACATAAGCAAAATCATCAGTTTATAATGAGGACTGAGGTATTTTCTTAACGGTTCTTCAAAAATTTTAATTTACGTTCAGACTCAGGAGCAATAAACATTGTCAATTTACATTTTTACTATAATGTCAACCTCCTTATTAATAATAATGTTCACCTTATCAGTTATAGAGGATTGATTTATAAAAGGACTGAACATTTAGACAATTTTATCCTGTTTAAGGATATTCCCAATATCACATCTACTCAGAAAATTGTCATTAACAGCTTTCTATACTTAGAGTTTTCATTAACAGAGTTTTCCTATACTACTCCTAGTACGTAGTCACCATTATTCATGCAAAACTTACCTCATTTACTCATCACTCACTCACACATTTAACATTTGAGAGTTAATAGGGAGCAGGACCCGTGCTAAAATCAGGGAGCATTGAACAGTAACAAAAAAATAGGTAAAATCACTACCATTCTTGTAAAAGTTAAGATGGAAAGGTGATCCCAAGGGTAGATTATAAATCATGGGATTAAAATTGAGGCTTCTTTTAGCAACTCATTTTGTAACCCGTCATCAGTTTCCAATTAGACTCTCAGAGCAATTAGAAAACATGGTATAAAACAGAAAAAAAAAAAAAATATATATATATATATATATATATATATATATATGTGAATAATTTGATACTTAAAGTATTTGTTAAAAATATAAAAACTCACTTAAAAAAAAAACAGATCCAAACAGAATCTACCTATTACTCATTATTAATCATAACGTCCTTGGTCATCCTCTGCTGGGAAGAAAGGCGGCTGAGTGGGGTAGGGTTCAATCACTTGGACTGATGGCATGATGAGTGAGGAACTCTTCTTCTCCTGCTTTTGCCCACGTCTCTGATTTGACAGGAAAACCTGCAATCCTAATCTAAAAGCATTTTCCCAACAATTATTCCAACTGCTGCTTTATTCAGTGTAATGCGATAAAAGGAGTTGTTGACGAGGAGCTGGAAGCCTTGAGTGTGAGCACCAGCACTGCCATCTACTTCACACCCTTTGCTACCACTCCATTTACAACTCACCTGTACACTGGCCTCTCATGCTCCACCCACCTCCCTGGGTGATTCCAAGGCCACAGAGAACCAGAGATGCTAACTATTCTCTCCCAGAACAGCCTAATTTCAGATTCCATTCAGATTTCATGAGGAAAAAAATGGCACAATATGGATAATCTTCCTCATACTGTCTAATTTGGGAGGAAGAAAACTAATTCAATTGAACAGATGAAACTTGGAATCTGGGTTCTAGGGCCAGCTTTGTGTAATAATAATCACAGGATGATGGACAAGGCACTTACACTCAGTCCCTGTAGAGCTCAAATCAAAATATCTATCCTATCAGCAAACTAGTTTTGTTGTGAGGCTAAGCAACAGTACAACACAAAAGTAGTCTAAAAGGCTATAAAACATTACTAATCAGGGCAATAACAAAGTATTTACAACAATATTGCCATCACAAGGGTCACTTGGGTTTCTTTTTAACTACTGAGACACTAGACAGAATGTACACATCAAACCCTAAAAATTATCCCATGAGAAACCCAATAGTACTCCTTAAAGTGGGTATTTCTAAAGTATATGTTGCCAAAATTACATGGCTTATATGTCCCATGCTATTAGCTATACCTTTTTACAGAAGGAAAAACCATTTAAAACTGAGCATTGATCTAGTGAAATCAACAGTAAATACATAGTACACTCCACTCCCAAAAGAATAGGATTTTTTGCCTGATTTCTAGTTTTAAGAGGAAAAAATTAAAAATACAAGCCAAGACTGAGACTTGCAGCTCATTAAAGCTGAGGTGATTTCCCCTATATAGAATTCTATTGATCTCCATAGTCCACACTAGACAAAAAGTGTGGTCAGGGAAGGGGGTGATGGATGCCTCTGCCAATAGCACTGAACAAACCTGTTAGCTAATTGCTACCAAAGACAATTATCCTCGCATTGTTTCATAATGGAAACACATTACAAAACTCTAATATACACACAGGGAAATTTGATGATTTGACTGCGGAGCCATGTGCATTGAATTTCATTGCCAAAGGCCAGCCAGGCCGCTGCTGTGAAGGGGAAGAAAGTGTCAGAATATAAGCCACAGTATCTTAAAGATCTTTAAGAAAAAAGAAAAAAAAAAGGAAGAAAAGAGAAAAGAATGAAAAAGACAAAAGAAAGGAAGATAACTCAGCACCATCAGCCAATTGA